ATAATGTATGAGTGTTTTGCCTGCATATATGTATGAGCACCTGGTGCATGCCTGGTGACCTTGGAGGTCAGAAGAGGGAGTCGGGTCCCCTGGAACTGGAGTTAACAATGGTTGTGAGCTGCCACGTGGTGCTGAGAACCAAGCCTAGGTCTTCTGCAAGAGCAGCTGTGTGCTTAACCACTAAACCATCTCTCCATCCCCCATGGTATCCCATGTTTTTAAATGTCCCCATTCTTACCCGCGTGAAGTGATGCACCGTGGCATAACAAGCATCCTTCCCCACGGCTGGTGGCCCCGAGCACCTTCACATGTGTGACATCTGTGCATCGTCTGGGAAAAGTCTCCTGGGGCCTCCCCTGCTTTACAATTTCATCTTTGGTGTTTTGTTTTTCCTTTCTGGATTGTGGAATCTCTTCTGTTTGGAGTGTTGGTCCCTCATGGGATGCACAAGTCACAAATTCTGTCTGACAGTCACCTCTCTGCTCCCTTGGCTGTTTCCTTAGCTGTCTGGAGCTTTTGAGCTTGGTATCCTTCTGTTTGTCTGCTTTTGCTTTGGCCTGTTTGGGGGCTGATGGCCAAGAACAATGACAAGAAAGATCCCTTATCTTCTCTTCCAGTGCACACAGGCTTACGTTTCAGTCTTTACTCCATTTAGAGATGATCTGTATGTGCGTGTGCGTGCGTGCGTGCGTGCGTGGTGAGAGTCTAGTTTCATTCTTTTACATTTAGATATCCAGCTTTACCACTTACTGGTTTAGTACTAGTTTGGAATCCATTTACTACTGCTTATTTGTACTGAGTGTAAGTAATCTGGAGCATGGGTAAGCTCTCAGGGGCAGCATCCCCAGTAGCTATCAGCTACCGATAGATTCTCAGCTGGGGTGGGACTCCATGAACGCTTCCAGAATCCATGCTGACACTTTGGCTGGCTTGATCTAGTGCAGGAATTGTGCATGCCATCCCAGCTGTTGGGAGTTTATGTGTATAACTGTTCTGTCTTGTCTGGCAAATACTGTTTTGCTACAGGTATCGATCCCTTCTGCTTCTTAGTCTCTTCTGTGATGATCTGTGGGCCTTGGCGTGGGGTCTGATAAAGTTTAGCATGCTCTATATTTTCTCTTTCTCTGTACAGTGACTGGCTATTGGTCTCTGTATTAATCATCATCTATTGAGAAATGAAAGAAGTTTCTCTGATGAAGGCTGAGAGATTCACTTGCCTATGGGTATAAAGATAAGAACGTCAGGGGCAGTTTGTTACCATTTCTATTTGGCAAAAAAAAAAAAAAAATAGCATCAGACTGTTTCCCTATGATTTAGTCAGCTATATGGTTTTGGACCCAGTTAACAGGAATGAATTCTCTCTTGTGGAGGAGGCTTTAAATCCAATCGGAGAGTGATTGGTTGTTCCCTTGACATCTGTGTCACTTGCACAGTAGCTCACAGGGCTCGTAGCTGAGCAAACTAATGATAGCTTCTTCCCCTGGTAGTTTGTGTTCCTTTGCTTTCTATAATTTCCCCTCCTGCCTGTTGTCACTACCATTCTGTTTTGATGACATCAGCTTTGTAGTAGACGTTGAGAGAAGACAGTGTGCCTATTAGTTACATTTCTCTCACTGTGACAAAATACCATGACCAAAGCTTCTAACGGAAGAAAGTTTTCCAGTTTAAGGTTCCTGAGTGGTGAGAGTTCCTTCGTGGTGAGAGTTCCTTCGTGGTGAAGAGAGGCATGGCATTGTAGCAGGACGATGAGAACTCACATCCTTCATTATAACCAGAGAAGGAAAATCGTAGGACAAGGACATAAGTGGCAAAGCCCTCCCCCGGTGACATACTTCCTCCAACAAGGCCACACCTCCTAAATCTTCCCAAACAGTGCCACTAAGTGGGACCTACTGTTTGAATGCCCAAGACTATGGGTGACATTTCCCATTTAATCTATTAGTGTGATGAGCCTGGCTTTGTTCATCTTGCTTAAGGTTGATCTGGCTAGAACTGGGACATGGCTCCGTTGGTAGAGTGCTTGCCTAGCATGCACAGGGCTCTGGGTTTGCCACACAGTGTCACATAAACTAGACATGGGAGCTCACACCTATAATCCTGGCAGGAGGGTCCTAAGTTCAAGGTCATGTTCACCCATGTAATTAGTTCTAGGCCAGCCTGAGTATTCAAGTCTTGTGTAAATTCATATGAACTTTAAGATTTTTTTTCTATTTCTGTAAAGAATATCTCTGAAACTTGGATAAGGGTTGCATTGACTCCATAGACCACCTTGGGTACTATGGGCATTCTAATATTGTTTTTCTAATTCATGAGCAAATAAGATGCCTTTCGATTTTTCTCATTAATATTTTTCTTAGTATATAATTCCTTCACTTCCTATCTTAAATTATTTCATAGTTCCCGTTGTTGTTTTGGCCCTATTGTGAAAGGAGTTTTCTTGATTTTGTGTTCTGAGGAGCTTATTGTTAATGTGGAGACATGATAGTGACTTTTGAGTATTAATTCTGTATCTTGAAGCTTCCTGGGTTGCCTATTAGTTATAATGAATTTTTTAGGTAAGCTCCTTGGAGTTTTATATTTAAGATTGTGTCATCAGCAAACAGAGATATTTATATTTCTCACTGTCTGAGTTGGGGGCTTTTGTTTTCTTGTTTAATTGTTGTGGCTAGAACTTTCAGCACCATGTCAATGACAAGTACACCACACTCACATGGTGTATGTACACGCATGCAGACATTCACACATAATAAATCAACATCTGGGTCAAGAAAAAGGATGCCCCTCTTGCTACTTTTATCTTATTTTATCATTTATTTTTGATTTCGGTCATTTTGCGTGTATGGGTGTCTTGTCTGCATGTATGTCTGTGCACAGCAAGTGTGCACTACCTTCTGGAAGCAGAAAAGGCCGTCAGCCCACCTTTGACTTTTTCCATCTCAATTTCTTTTATTTCTGCCCCGATCTTTATTATTTCCTTCTACAAAATTTGGACATAGTTGGTTCTTTCCTTCACCCCCCCCCCCGAGTGTGATGTCGGGTTGGTAAGTTGAAATGCTCTTTTCCCACATGCCCTTGTTGTGCGCTTGCCGCTGAGCTGCCACCACTGTGCCCACCAGAGCTGGCACGCACACTTTCATCTTCTATGCTGTGGCAGATTTCAGCTTTCCTTCTTATTTCTGATTGCCCCGGGGGGGTCGTGAAGCTTTGAGAACATTTTCAGGGGGCTGGAGAGATGGCTCAATGTTAAGAGCACTTGTTGCTTTTGCAAAGTACCCAGGCTCAGTTCCAGCACCCATGGAGTGGCTCACAACCATTCATAACTCCAGTTATAGGGACCCACACTCTCCTCTGGCCTCCAAGGGCACCAAGCATGTATGCATGCACATACATATATGGAGGAAAACACTAATACATATTAAAATTAAAATAAATCTTAAATTTAAAAAAGAACTCTTTAGCATCACTGTGTACAATCTTCACTCAACATTAGAAAGGAGACTCTTCTCTTGTTGGTTTGTTTGTGAGGTAGAGTTTCAGGCTAGTTGTTGAGGATGACTTTAAATTCCTGGTTCTGTAGCCTCCACTTCCCATGTCCTGGGATCACAAGTGGCACCGTGCCTGGTCAAAGTAGTTCTTATGATCTTCATTTTGCAGACATGGAAACTGAGTCTCACCATCCAAAGTCACACTCAATGAACCTGGCTCCAGAGCTGAAGCATTACGTGACTCTATCCACCACACAGTTCATCAAATCTCCCAGCAACCCTGGGAGGAAGCTGTGGACCAAGCCCGTTTTCAGACAAGGAAGTCAAGCCTCAGAGGGAGGGGCAAGGCTCCTAAGAGTCAGGCTGAAGCCTACCCAATCCTGTCTGCTTCCCAAGCTCCACACTGTGCAGACAGTACTACCCTGGTGCCTCTGTGTTCCCACCGTCCCTACCTTCTGGAATTTTCTCTTCTTGTCTACATCAGATTGGCTTTGAAATGCACCTATTCCAATGCAGATCCCAGAATAATAAAAAGGCCTTCCTCCTTTACAACGCTTCCTAGCTATAGCCAAAAGAGGGTATCCAGATCACAGGAAGTCTGTCTGAACACCACCATACCCCCTCATTATGGCACTTCCCCATGAGCCACTCCCCCAGAATAGACCCCAGGAGCCGCCTTTCTCTGCCCTCTATATCCTTACTGACTAGCCTCACGCCTGTGCTGGAGATGGTCGCCTCCAGCCTGACCCTTGATTTTCTTTCTTCTCTTTAAAAACCATTTAAAGAATCCCTCTATTGTTACAGAGAAGGAAATTAAGGAACAGAGAAGGGAAGTGGTTTTCTTAACATCACACAGGATGTGGAAGATCAGGGGCTGGGACCTGGAGGTCTGGCTTTTCCTCTCACACTGTTGTTTTTTGAGCAGGCATCACTGGGGATAGAGTTACCCCTGAGCAGTGTTGGAACAATCTTCCTCCTGCACAGAAGTTATCAGCAGGGTACCTAGGGCTGTGCAAGAGGTACAGGTGATCATAGGACACAAGCATTCTTCTCAGGGAAGATCAGGAAAGGCCATGGGGAGAGCGGCCATGGGGCCTGGGTTGGTAACCTGACTAGGCATGCAGAAAGGCAGCCGGTGGAGAGGACAGGACAGGAATGCTTGCTTTGAACGGGATCATAGAAAGGGCAGAAGACAGCACCATTGGTCTGAAGGAGCCAGATCCTGAGTGGTGGGTCAAAGGCCTGTGAGTATGGGACACCCAAATCAGCTCTGACAAATTCCTGTCCTCACATGTGGCTTAGCAGCAGCTTGGTGACTCCAGGAGATATGTGAGAAAAGCTAGAACTCTGCCCTCTCTGGTGGATCCTGGTACCTGTGTGTGGTGATGGTCTCAAGGTTGGAGGAACTTGGCAAGGCAGTGGAACCTTCTACTTGGGACACTGAACCCCATGGTTCTGAGGGCAGGTGGGTGTTCACGGCACTGAGGGAGCACTAGACAACGAAGGCACCACGCAGAGTTCTGAAGTTTGGTTTATTGGCTGAGGGTTAGCATAGCTTCTGCAGGTAGCTGTCTCCTCAGCCTCCTCCCCGCAGTGGTCAGGGTAGGCTGAGATGCTGGGGGTATGAGTTTCCTAGCCCTGCTGCTTCTAGAAGGTAGAAGGGGCTTCCACGTGGGCTGAGATGAAGGCAAGCAATGTCACTCTAGCATCCTGTGCAGGCAGCATAGGCACAGATCTCGCATGTATTTGGGTCCTGAGCAATGGCCTCTGGTCAAGAAAGAAAGAGTCTTGGTGAGAGGCAGCCACCCTTTCCTCATAGCCCCTGCCTCTCTTCAACTAGAGTCTGGATATGTCACCAGCCACCAGGATAATCCCAGCAGGCTGATCTACTCTGACCCTCTGGACGTTCTGCCTCAAACGGGGAGTGTGAACTATTGAATCCAGCCAATCAGAGTGCAGCTTCTTACCAGACCAGAGATGGAGTTGCTATGTATGACCTGAAGATAGGACGCAGGACTTCTTTTAACCCATGCTTCTGAGTGAAGGCCTTTCTAAGAGGCTTCAGCCAGTACCACTTAAAACTAACCAATCAGAGCACACCTCCTCCTCAAGCCCCACCAATCAGAGAACGTCCCAGCCATACAAGCCAAGAGGCCACTCACCCAACCTCTGCAGGATCTCCTCAGCATTGGGTTTCTGGCAGACAGGCCTCAGTGCTTCTGGAAATGCAGAGTGGCTACATAGCTGTTGTGCCATCGGCTTAAGACGCCTGGGAGCAAACTTCTTGTGACTCACCAATCTGGGCTCCTGTACCTCCTGGAGGTCCTTAAGTTTTTTCACTGACTCCAGAGGAAAGGAAAGGTCTCCATCCTGAAAGAGGCAGCCAGAACATGAGGCCAGGCTGCAGGCAGCCCTAGCCTGGGTAGCTTGCTTGAGACAATCTATGGAACAACATGAGGTCAGACCTCTGTGGCCCTGGGTTTGCTAGAGGCCTTAAGTTCTGCATACTAACACGTGATGAATGGGGAAGCTGCGGTAGAAAACCAGGGATGCAGTGGATGTCACATGAGGGTAGACTGACGTCCATATCAGTGGTCATGCTAGCCCAGGCTATCTTTTCTTGCCTGAGGGCTTCCACCTCCAGCCTAAAAGGAACCCAGGGGCATCTCTGAGAGAGCAGTATCCCTGCTTGCTGACAACTCTGCTTGTATCTGGTGTCACCAGTAGGTATGCCCAACCATCTAGGTCTCCATGGGTGCAATGAATGCCTACATTTGAACCCAGCCACCTCCCTTCCCAGCCACCAGCTTTGGCTGTTTTGGAACCGTAGTGAAGCTCATGTTTCTGTTCTGTGAAATGCCACCAACCCCTCCTCCCCAGGCCTGCCGGGTCACAGTGGGACACTGGAGCAGCCAGACTGCAGGCACTCGACTGCTGTCTTTCCCAGATGGCATTTCTTGCCGTCTTCCTGCATGCTTTCCTCCTCCAAGTTTAAAGGGAAAATATGCATGGCTGGCAGGACTCAGGGGTCCCAGAAGAAGCCCATTCCTCCTTTCAGGACTCCAAGGATGGGGCTAGACCAAGTAGGGGTGGGGCCATACCTGCACAGTGACCCCTTCTACCAGGACAGCCAAGGCACCCAGGAGACACAGCACAGAGAGCACACAAGCATTCATGGTAGCAGTATACAGTGCAGAGAACAGGCCAGTACTGGTGTCTGGGGTAAACAGCGGGGCTTTTAAAGAAGTTGAGGTTACTCAGTAACCCTGGGGCCTTGTCAGCCTCATCTGCTGCCTGTTGAGCCCCATCAGATAAGGCCAGTGGAGCCTACGAGATAAGAGATCAACAGAGCCTGGCAGGGCCCTGGTCCCTCCCTGGGCACTACTTTGACCCACAGCTGGGCTGGGTCCTGGATTTACTCCCAGCCAGGATGGCAGACCCAGCCCTGCCCTTGAAGAAAGAGGCCCAGCAAGGTGACTGTGACGTCAGTGACAACAGAGACAGGGCCATTAGCATGGGGGTAGGGAGCACAGAAGAGGCATCTCCCATCCATCCACAGAAGGCCCTGTTAGGAGGAGCAAAAGTGAGCTGGGCCTGGAATGTTCAGAGGGAAGGGAAGAGTGAGCACAGAGAGGGGAGAGTGGGAACACAAGGCCCAGAGTCCAGTCTTCGTCTCTGTGACTCAACTCTGCCATCCTCAAGCATGTACTCAAACCCCACTAGAGGCCTGTTTTTGATGTGGCTCCCCCTCCAAGTCTCACTGCCCTATCAGGGTCTCTGTGCAGACCAATGTGAATACCTCCCTGGTTAGATGCCTTCCTGCTAAGGAGTCTATGAGGACCTAGGTGTTCCACGCAGTTTCTGCCACACAGTAAGCCCTTGATGAAGAAGGTGCCGTACCTAAACAGCAGCAGCAGCTCCTGGTCCTCACTGTCTCCCCTGATGGCTACCTGCCTAGCCCAGTCAGAGCAGTCGGTCCTCAGGCAGGATGGCCCCTCTGTCCTGCCCTGCCCTGCTCTCAGTGGCTGAGATGGATCTATGTGGATCTGAGTCCCTCTAATATGACCCCTGTTGGGATGGTCGAAGTCCTGTGTCCACTGCAGGACCTGGGTGTACAAGCCCCAGGACCTTAGAGAAAGCTGTCCTGAAGCATCCTGCTGCTTCACCACATTGCCTGCATTCTCAGATAGTCAGGGTGAAGGATAGCGTTCCCAGATGTGACAACAGTACTAAAGAAGGGACTGGAGGAAGAGGGCCCTCTTACAAAACCCAGAAAGTACCTAATCCTGGGGCAACATCAGGAACTTGCCAAGCTGTTCTAGATTGGACTTCTGTTGCCCCCTCGCCAACACATACTGTAGGGTCATAAGCAAATGCCTGCAGGCACTGAGATATAGACGGCACGTATGCTGTGGTGTGTGAGTGTATGCTGAAGGGGTATGTGTATGTCCAGAGATGCATGCGAGTACGTATGAGGTGGGTATTAAAGGGCATATGTAGGTATTCTGAAAGGCATGTGTGTATATGCACTGAAGTGTCGTGTGCCTATATATGCCAGAGTATGACAGAGAGTTGTGCGTATATGCTTGATTATATTCATGTGTACACTAAGGAGTCTATTTACCTATGTGCTAGGGATGTGTGCACACACTAAAGCATATGTATGTGTACATATCCTGAAGTTGTCTATGTTTATGCATGTTTGCAAGGAGGTAAATGTGTACTTCAGGAAACAGCGTAGAGGTGTGTGTGTGTGTGTGTGTGTGTGTGTGTGTGTGTGTGTGTGCATGCCGGCAGACAATACATGTGCAGTCCATGTGCTCCACATTGAGCTGTTAAGAAAGGTGACCTTCAGGGCCTAGCAAGGGTGCTGAGCAGGGATTCATAGTTGCAGGGTGTCCATGTGCTGGGTTGCAAGGACTGGTGTGCTGAGGCAGAAGGAGCAGGGGACTCTTCAAGGGTACACTGGAGTGACAGGAGTGACCTGGGCTAACACGAGGACCAGCACCTGCCAGGTCAGGGGCCGAGTTAGGGTGAGTTTGATGTACCGTCTGGCAATGAGCCGGCTTTGGGCATGGAGCCAGCTAGGTAGGGTTAGGTTTGGAAGTGGATGCTGGTTAGGACGGAGCTTGAGGTGGAGACTAATGAGTGTGGCGGCTGCTGGGCTGGGTTCAGATTCCTTCTGGGGTTGCAGTTGAGTAAAGTTTGCCGTGAAGTTGGAGATGGATGGGGTGGGGCTGGGTTTATGATTTGGGTTAGGTCTGGGATGACGTGGGAGCCTAAAGCTGTGCTGGAATTCAATTTGGCTTTAGGGTGGGACTGGGCTAGGGGAACCCTTTTTCTGACTCAAGGTGTCTCTTGTCTTCCCTCCTCAGGTGTGGCTGTGACAGGGGAAGAGAACAGGGTTTCCACTCCTGCTGTCTCTTTTGCCTAGGAGCTGCTCCATCTGACCTTCAGGATGACGAAGTTCCACACCGTGGGACAGAGGAAGTTGCTATTAGGTCCTAGCCTTTGGATCTGTCCCTATCCAACACCTCATCCCCAAACTCTGCTCTCGGAAGTAGGAACTTACTCTTCTCCCCTTTCCCACTATGGTGCCTGCCAAACCTGGGACCAGCTCTGACTTCAATCCCCTGCCTCCTTTTCAGGAGATATATGACCTCATCAGCCTGCATTAAAGGTGCCTGAGATTGGACCTTAGCTGTACTCCTGGAAGCCCAAGCTTGCATCCTGAATCCTGAGCCTTGTCCTCAGCTTCCAGCATACCTCATGAAGGCTGTTTGGGTTTCCCATACATAAGGACCACCTCTTCTGGCAAGCCAGTGCACCTCCATGGCCTTACAAGCCACAGCACCATCTAGGGACAACCAGCCACTGTTCCAAACCTCAGAGGGAAGCCAGGCTGCCTGGCTGGCATTCAAGGTCAGGCCTTGATGAGTATATCATTCAACCAGGACCTCAAAGCACTACACAGGTTGGGGGGGGGGGAGGAATGCCAGAGCTCAGGCTCTACCCAGAGCTAGACAGCCCCCAGATTCGATGCCAGCTTCATCTCTGAGTAAGTGACCTTTAGTGTTAGCTTCTATGCTAGACAGATGAAAAGAATAGCCCCACCGCAGATCTCAACATTTTCTAGCAACTCTCAGGGGCCCCTGAACCCTGGAGTTAAGGTTAAGACCATTCCTACTCCTTTGTGCTCTGGAAGCCTTCCCATGATACTTGGAGCCACACAACTTTGGTGGCAGCATAAGCTGCGTGCCCGACGCTCAGAGAAGGCCTGGAATCAAGGGGATGGCACCATGGCAAAAGGAAATACAGAAAGTGGAAGGGAGTGTGGCAGAGACTGTGGCAGACAATTCTGCAACTGGCTGGGCTAAGGCCCTGGCAGAGAGCTCTGCAGCTACGGATATCAGTTGTCACGATCCCCAACACAGCTGGCCCTAACCTCAATGCTGGAAGTTGGGGAGTTCTACTTGATGCTGGGATACCCTGGGCTTCTCAAGGAGACTGATACTATTCCTTTTGGCCAACAGATTTGGTTTAAGGGCTGTGTCTGGGTGACCTCATTTGATCCCAAGAGCCCATGAAGATCAGGTCCACTACAAACTTAAATCCTCCAACAGGTCTCCTGCCTGTAAGCCCACAGGTCTAAACAGGGAACAAGGCCCAGAAAGAGCCTGAAGACACTAAGTTTGATCCCTGTGACCTTGAGAGGTGTGGTCTGCATTCTAGTCCAACTTGTGAAGCTTGTAAATGTGCTTCAGAGGGTGTAGCAATCTCTGGTTGCCATGGGAACCCAGGAAGCCATAACTGCCTGACAATTCCAGTGTCTGTGAGACTCCTAACAGCTTTGGCAATGAATATATATATACATAAAAAAGTAACTTTATAATCCCACTTTAAAGGGTCGGGTGGTAAGCTAGATCTCAGTAAGGTTAAGAAATCATGACTTCCCAAGGGCATGTATGCACATGGCTGCTGGGTACAGCCATATTGACTGTGCACTGCAGAAAGGTACAGGGCCAATGGTACACATGTAGACACAAGCTTTGAGCACCTTCAGTCCAGAGGAAGGCACAATTTTTCAGATTTACTGCCAGGTGGATTTGGTGACAACTCTGGTCATATAGCTATAAATTCCAGAACTGAATCCAATTTTCTGAAATGCCAAAGGAAAACCTGACCTTCCACTGGGTGCAATGAGGAACTTCCCAAGTACCTCCTCTACTGATCCTGGCACCACACAAACCTCCCTTTGAGGGAAGAAAGAGAAGTGGCCCACCAAGAGTCAGCAGCACCCACACTGCAGAGGAGAAAATGGATGCTCAGAGTGCTCGGATCACATAAGAAGTGGCAGCAGATGGGGCTTGGAGGTCCTGGCCAGAGCCCCAGTCCAGTTTCCCCTCCCCCAGGCTCCAGGCTGGTGGGTGCTTTCCCTTGATGCTTCAGGGGGCAGCTGGAGAGTGGAGAGGGTGTGTCTGCTTGTTTGCCCAGTCTTGTCATCCCCCTGTGGCTGGCCAGGATGAGATGATGGGTACCCATTTGCCATCTGTTCTCATTCACACACAGCAGCTGCCTCCTCTTCCTCCTCCTGGAGGCATCTCACTGAAGGCAGCAAAGAAAGGCTCATCTGGAGTGCTTACCCCTGAGTCTGTCACACACACACACACACCCACACCCACACACACCCACACACACACACCCCCCACACACACCCACACCCACACACCCACACACCCACACACACACACCCTTCAGAGGAGCCCAAGCTGAGACAGGACATGGATGGACTTCACTGGACTCCTTGTGGGACATGCTAGGAATAAAGCCTGGAGCTCAGGCCCTAAGGCCAGGCCGTGCTGGTGGAAGTGGCATTTGAAGCGGTCTTTGACAGATGCAGACCTGGGGGCACCGGGGAGGAGAGCTGGTCCAGGCTAAAGCACAGCAGGCCTCCAACAGGACCAAGCTTGGGCATCTGCCTGATGACAGTGAAAAGTAGTTTAGGACCTTGGCAGAGCCACTGTGCACACACACACACATTGCAGCAGAGGACTAAGAGTGGTTGGTAAGCTACATCTGGTCAGCATTCAAGATGGAAGGCAGTGCTCCATCTCAGCAGATATGGGGGGGGGGAGAATCAGCAACTTGGTCAGAACAGAGGGAGGGAGTGAGGGAGGGAAGGAGGGGAGAG